GTGGCAGCAGCGTCTCATGTGCTCCAAGCAATAGCAGTGAATGAGAGCCTTCTAGTTCACTTGCCACATCACTTGCCTTTGATTTATTAATAAAAGATATTGGAAGTAAATGCATTATAGATCATTACAAATACTTAGCTTTAAAAGTACCAAGTCCTGACACAGTAAGAAAATAGAAATCCTGTATAGAAAAAAAAGATGCATCAAGATGCATCGATAATCGTTTTATAATCGCATCGCAGCCCTCTGAATTGTAATCGAATCGATTCGTGAGGTGCCTATAGATTCCCACCCCTATCACATACTGTCCCAACTTTTTTGGAATTGGGTTTGTATATTCCTGGAGCACAACTGTACAGAAGGTCCAAAAGCATGCACATTCTCAGTGTGTGGACCTCTAAGTATAGCCCCCCAAACACAAGCTCTTCACAAATACATGATGCCTCTTCTGTCTATATATTCTCCTGAAATATTGCCTGAACTGCCAAAAAAAACATTGAGGCTGGAGATACACTGAAGACTGAAGCCTAACATTTTCTTATTTTCTTTGGGTTATTAGCAGACAGAAGTGACTTATACCTAGACTTGTCATGTATCTGTGTGCACAACAGCACGTCCACTGTTTCAGAGCGTGTTCTTTCTCAGGTAGTCTCCTGTGTACTACTGTCCCAGATGAGGGTATGTGTGATAGCAGGGATAAAGATGGCCCCCTTTCTTCTCCGCCTCCTCTGAAACTCTGTTCCTTCTTTCCCTGATACCTCATTATTGCTTTGAATGTTGAAGGACCCATATCATGGAAAACCACATTGTCCTTGCTTTTTTAAGTCATTTAGTTCGGTGTTGTAAACATTGATTTAGTAAACATTGTTTAAGGTTTAGAAATGTTCAATTCCCTCTCCAGCACATTGGGTAGATATATATATTTTTGCTGCAGAAATATTACATTTGGATTTTTTTTTTTACGGCATCACGAAAAAAAACGTTTACACATACTCTGACCAATCATTTCATTAAGCACACCTACCTTGTATCTACACTTACTGTCCATTTTATCAGCTCCACTTGCCATAATAGGTGCACTTTGTAGATCTACAGTTACAGACTGTAGTTCATCTGTTTCTCTGCATACTGTTAGCCCACTTTCATGCTGTTCTTCAATGGTTAGAAGCCCTAGAGGACCACCACAGAGCAGATATTATTTGGGTGGTGGATCGTTCTCAGCACTGCAGTGACACTGATGTGGTGGTGGTTTGTTGTGCTGGTATGAGTGGATCAGACACAACAGTGCTGCTGGGCTTTTTAAACACTATGTCCACTCACTGTCCACTCTATTACACACCCTCATAGATGTAAAGTCAAAGACAGTATCTTCTCTGTTGCTGAGCATTTTGTCTTTGTCATCCTCTGAAACATGCACAATATGGCCAAAAGTGTGAACTCTACTCCTAATTATTGCATTTAGATGTTTCAGCCACACTAATTGCTAACAAGTGTATACAATCAGACTAGAAATTAGGCAGTAGAGTGAGTCGTGCTGAAAAGTTCAGCAACTTTATATATCGCACTATCATAGGATGACACCTTTCAGCTCATTAAATTTCTGCACTGCTAGATCTGCTTTAGTCAACTGTAAGTGCTGTTAGTGTTAAATTAAAGAGTGAACCATGCAAACTCACAGTGTAGGGCTGCCAAATGTTGAAGTTCTGCCCTTTTGGATCTGCCTTAGTCAACTACTGATGGAGGCATCTAGGAGCAACAACAGCTTAGCCACGGAGCGGCAGGCCACGCAACCTGAAGAGTGTAGCACATAAAAAATGTCCTCTCCTGCATCACTCATTACAGTGTTCCAAACTGCCTCTGAGAGCAACACCGGCACAATGAAATGTTTTTTCATGGCTGTGAGCAGCTGCACACAAGGCTATGATCACTATGCGCAACGTCAAGCATTGACTGGAGTGTATAACACACCCCCACTGGACTCTGGAGTAGTGGAAAAGTGATGAATCATGCTTCACTATCTGGCAGTCTCATGGTGGAATCTGGGTTTGATGGTTGCCAGGAGAATACTACCTACTGGGATGCATAATGCTAATAAAGTGTGATTGAAGAAGGATGATGGTATCAGGCTGTTTATCAGGTTCTGAGCTCGGCCCACAGAAGGGTAATGTTAAGGCTACTGCAAAGACATTTCAGACAGTTATATGCTTTACAACTTTTGTGATGAATTGGAATGTCGATTGCGAGCCAGGCCTACTCGTCCCACCTCAGTGCCAGATGTCACAAACGCTTTTTTAATTGTTTGGGCACAAATTCACACAGACACGCTCCAACATTTTGTGGAAAGCCTTCCCAGAAGAGTAGAGGCTATAAAATGAGGACGAACTCCCTATTAATATCCGTGCTTTTGGAATGGGAATTCAGAAAAGCTCATATAGATGTGATGGTCAGGTGTCCACATACTTTTGGCCATACAGTGTAGTATTGGTTAGTATTTTTCCCCACACCCTGTGGCATGGCAACAGTCAAAATTTTGAGGACATTTTCAAGGTGGACATACGTCAGTATACTAAGATAGCCAAAGATTTTAGGAAAAGAAGAATTTGGGGTTTGAAATGGTATAGTATGATGAATGTTGCTTAATATGTCCATGAACGAATAAGGGAAAGAAGGTTAATTCATTAAGACACACAAACATTAACAAATAAAGCCAGACTTCTGCTCAGGCGACAGTGTTTTTCTCTTGTCTGTGTTATCAAGGGCAAGGGCTTATGTATTAATTGCCAACACACGTCATGCTGAAAACTTCTCATTCTTTAGCTCGTGCCACTTTTCTCGCTGGGCGCGAACAAAGGGTCGTTTTGCACATTTCCAAAACTGCCACTGTCCGTGAATCATCTCCTTTCAACACGGGCCACTTTCATCAGCTGGGCTGTGTATCTTAAATCAGTAGGCTGTCATCACGTATATCAACCTGCATTCCAGCTGCCATGCAAGGGACGGTGGCTTCCATTAACGATGAGACCAGAAGAGCGGATGTGTGTGTGCTTGCATGCGCATCTGTGAGGCCTCATTTTCTAATAGCTGTTTCTGGTTTAGCCTTCACATGTGCTACGCAGGCTACATTTTACTATAAAAGTGTAGTAGGTTATTAGGCAAAACAATCTAGTTTCTTTTAGCCATCTGCTGTGCTGCTTGGATTTTGCCAGGAAATACTGAAAAAATTACATGCTACCTAAGCTAATGCTAACCAGTTCCTAATCTCTTAGTTAGCAGCACTGTTTATTTAGCAGTCATTGCTGCGTTGATTGTTCAACGTTTATTGGATGGTGGACTAAAAATCATGTACTTTAGTTGATGACTGTGTAAGAGAACACAGCTTATTTGATTGTTTTTCAGTTTTCCAGGATATGATGGCACAATACTAACATAAACAAGGAGCCAATTAGCAAATAGCTGCATCACTGTATCTTCCAACCAAACAGTTTTGTGGCCCAGAGTAAGGCTAGCGAACTGTGTCCGTGTGGAAATGCCACTAGAACAGTTATTCTCCATGCTCAGAGCTGCTAGCCCTACAGTGGTAAAGAAGCTATTAAATACTCCTTTAACATGCTCACACTTGACAGATTTATTGCTCAGAAAAGGGATCTAAAACACAGCTCACATTACAAAGTGCTCTTTTGCATGCTGTGTGCAATTACACATTTCCACCAGACAAAAAACTTAGTCTAGATTTACACACACACATTTTCTAAGCCGCTTATCCTCCTGGGTCGCAGGGGATGCTGGAGCCTGTCCCAGCGCTCCTTGGGTGTAAGGCAGAAAACACCCTGGACAGGTTGCCATCACACCTGGAGGAAACCCACACAGACAAAGGGGAAACATACAAAGTCCTCACATAAAGGATCCTGGTCGCCCAGCCGGGGAATCGAACCTAGGTCCTTCATGGTCCAGGTTTCAACCAATCTGTAAGGTGTGGGCAGGACATTGAGACAGGCTACAGATGTGTGGATTGGTTGTACTCGACATGTGATACTTATTTTGAACAGATTCAGTAAAAGCTGCGTGCAGGACACTGAGCCAGAAGTGTTTCTTTTTTTTGGTGTCTACATTGGCCTCATAACTCCAGGGAAGAACTGTGAAGCAAACTTTGTACACCAGACATGTTTAGGTAGATTTGCATTGAGGAGAAAAACTGTATAAATTTGATTTGGTCTGTAGCTTTAATAATTGAGAGACTATTATGACTATTCTTTCTGGTTTTCAGGGAATCTGAGTCCTGGTATGTTTCTCTTCCATGTTGTACCGACGAGGGTTTCTTATGTTACAAAATAGAACAAGATCTCAGAGACTGACCAAAAGACAAGTAACATGTTCAGGGGCACTCTGGCTTAAGAGAACTTTTCACTTTCGACTTGCTTTCCCCCTCCCAAGGTTTTTCGGGAGGTTGCAACACATTTAGATGTGCTGCGCAACAAAGACGGCACTGATCCATCAGAAGGGAGACTGCTTAAAAGCTACTCTTAGATCAGCTCTCACCTCAGCAGAGCACTTTGAAGGCCACACAAGAGGGAGGGTGAACTGTTTGGGCCTACACGGCCTGAGGAGTTGAGAAAGGGCCGGGGAGCACCACAAGACTCCTTGGCTTCAATTCAGACTTACTCTTGCTGAAATGCTCGACCCACGCTATCACATCTACGCAAGAATTCTCTTTTAAGAGCTGGGTTGAGGTTTCTGTGGATTGCACGATAGACAAAGTCCGTGTTGCTACCCATAAAGTTGTAGTGCCAAGAGCCTGATCCAAAAAATCTGTGTAGTAACACTTGGTCCTAAAGGTTATACCTTTTACTTCAGATGTTTCAGGTTGAAATTTGAAGTCTGTCTTGATATATTTATGTGTGTATTGCACCTGTGTGTACTCTGAAAGTTGTTGCGGCTACTTTGTGCAGTTTGTTAGGTCAGGTGGACGATGGCCTTTTTACTATCTCCCGCTGTTTGTGCAGGAGAAGACTGTGCGGGAGCTGGAGGCAAGGGTAAAGCAGCTTTCAGTGGAGGTGGAGAACGGGAACCTGCTCAGGCAGAAGGTCACGCAGGAGAAGGCCGAGCTAGAGATTCACATTGCTGCCATCAGTGCCGAGTTACAGGAGGCCAACCGCAGGTACCACCACTCAGTTAACAGACACATAGGGAAAATGTGTTTATTTCCCCCAAATAATGCATTTAGAAACACATTTAGTGTCGTCACAGATCTCCATCATATGCGTCTTACAACAAACACAAGGCAGAGAGGTATAGCTGGACTAAAGAGGAGACGAGAACATTTTTTTTGTAAAGTAATGCTGCCACTTTTCAGCAATTACAGAGACAGAAGTCCAGAAGAGGCTACAGCTTTTCACAAATCGAAGGTGCTCAAACATCTGTACATGGCAGGGAAGCATGATCAGTTCCATACAGAGGCAGATAAGCTAAGCAGAATTTTTTAGCAGTAGGTTATGGGGAAGTCAGGAAAGCCAAAGGTACACAAGTTGCAGCATACATGAAATTAGGCATGGAGGCTTTTTTATCGATAAACTTATACGACAACAGTTTTGGTATGAAATGACAGTTACATTTCTATTGCTAGAATTGTCTTTAATGGAAAGAAGAGCATAGAGAACACAGAAATCATTTTACACATTTTTATTTTATCACATGCAGTTTGCTAGTGTAAAACAAATCAAAACTTCTGTTTTAGGTTCTCCAAAGTAGCTCCCTCTTGATGCAGCTTTACACACTCTTGGCATGCATGGGAATCTGCCTGGGATGTTTATTTTTTGTTGTAGAAACAAATTTCAATCATTGAAGCATAAGAGTTTAGATTAAATGTCTTTCAAATTATTACACATACAGTAAGTACTGTGCAAAATGCAAATAAACAGAAAACCGTGAAAAGTAACACAAATTTCTTGTTTTCAGAACACTAGTATGTTGTGAGCGGGTTAGAAGAACAGAGGTTTGGTTCCAGATATTTATATAGATATTTACAAGGATCATGCTATGATCTATTTAAACCCAAAGAAGTAATTGAATAATAAACTAATTATATTCACAATTATCATTAATAGGGTACTTGTGAAACTTGTGAAAATAATGCCTTTTTAATGTTTTTGATTTTGAAGTAAAGTTGAAAGATTTAGATTTACGATGACTTCAATTTTTTAAGTTAAAAAAAAAAAATTCAGTCACTACCAAAACACAGACTTTTAGCCCATAGGTGGAGCCTTATTTTAGCCACACCCCTGCCTTTTAGAGCAGTTAGATCCCGTTGTATTGAAGTAAATGTGTCCCAAAGTCTGAAAATCATTGTAGAACATTAAGAATTGTCACTACTGAAACATATTTTCTGCAATTAAGTAAATTTGTGTGTTTTTATGAAAGTATTATGATTTCATGTTCACAGCTGTGTTTGCTGGTCATTTACTTTATGAAGTATGCTCAAAATTAGCTAAAATTGTCCCTACCAAACCAGTCACTGCTGAAAGATTTGGTAAAGTTTTGATAATGTTATAATTGTTTTGTTAGTGACAAAATGTAGTGTTAATTCTTTGGTTTTAATTAACCTAATTAATAAACCTAATAAACCTAATTAAGGTACAAGGTAAAGCAAAAGGTATTTAGTCTAAAGTCCGAATCCAAGACTTTGAACCAATTCGGTATAATGATCCACATTTATGTGTACTTCAGGAATGTGTCTCTGCTGAGAGAGAAGGAGCTGCTGAGCGAACAGCATGAGGAGACACTGCAGAAACTCCATGCCAAACATGACGCCGACATGAGCCACTTCCAGCAGGAGCATGCTCTGTCTGCAGCCAAGGTAGCCACCACAGATTCACCTCACAGCTGCCTCTGGACATCCTGAGACCAATATAACGATTTATTAAATCATCTGTTGACCGTTTTAATGTACACATTTCACATAAGATAGGTGTGGTTATTAAAATATACCGTTTTCAGAACTCATTGTTTCACCTACTTTATTGATTTTTTTGAGTGTAGGAATGAACAGTTTGAAATGTACATAAAACGATCAGCTATTCATCAGCTCATTTGATCAGCCGTAGGCATTTGTTTTATTTTTGCACTTAATAAATGTAAATAGTAATACTGAGGCCATCATGTACACAAACAGTGATAGCAAGTGGGTAAATGCTTAATCTTTGTCAAATTACCTGAAAACATAATAGTGCAGTTTGATGGAAGTTTCGTTGTAGTGTTTTATCATGTTTAATTTGGCCATGAAATTTTGTGCGTCGTGTCTGTGGCCAGTTAGCCTGGTGCCTTTTTGCCTGAGGCTGCTTCGCTTGCTGTCAAATTGTATGAGCCTGTGTTTTTCTCAAGACCCAAAACTGTTTCATCTGATATCTGAGAAGCTCACGCGGTGGTCTGAAGATGTCCTAAAACATACACCATTCTCTAGGTAGCTTTTTGTGGGAGCTTGATATCTTTCTGCCACATCAACACACAGTGTCTCCCCCAAGCATGTTCAACCAGGGCAGCAGTCTAAAGTACAATAAATGTGGTTATTAATGTACGATATCACATCACTCAACACGTTTAAAAGTAGATTATGCTTATGTACGAGAATACTAGTGTCTTGCTGTGGTTTGCATGAAATAAATCAATAAATGAGCAGTGTGTTTTCAACCTGGTGGTAAAAAAAAAAAGTTTTTTAATGTCAGTGGGGGGCATTTCCGCAGTAAATCAATTAACCGTCACCAGGCACAGGACAGTTATAACTATTATGAATGTTACATTCATAAAGATGATAATGATTTAAATGTGATGGTATCTGCTTGGTTGGATTGTTAGGCTTCTGAAGTGATTGAGGATCTGGAGCACATGGTGGCTCAGCTCAAACGGCAGCTGCAGGACGGCGAGCACCGACGGCAAAAACAGCTCAGGGTGAGTACCTGATGCACGTCCATCTATTTGTCTGCTAACTTTGTTCTAAAGTAGCCCATGAACAAATAAAAATCCACCTGCCCTTTCTCAACCTGTTTTTCCTTCTGCCCAGTAACTTCTTTATCCACTTAAAGATCAACATACTGTAGTTTTGCATCAACCACATGCAGTGGAAATAAAAGTTTGATAGCCTGTGTGACTCAAAGATGTCAACTTAAGTTTGATTTTGGTTCCACCAGGAGCTGGAAAATAAGATGCAGCAAGAGACAAAGGAACTCCAACACAGCAGTGAGATAAAGGTGATTGTTCTGTTATGAAACTCAATTTTCTGTTTAAGTCTAGACAGGGCTTCAACTTTCTGTCATGAGCAGATGTCTCAGTCTTTCATAGTAAAAAGTCTGGGATTGTGTGACTGACAAGCCAGTTTTCAGTACTTCTGAGTACGATGATAGAGGCTTTTAGCTAGGAAATCTAAACTGTTCTAAAATGTACAAATATTAGCATACTTTTTTGTTGTAAATTTAAAGATAGTCATGGGTTGACGGCCCTGACTTGGACTTTATTTAAACCAAAGTAATATTACCTTGCCCAAGCAGTTTTAAGTTAGAGATAAAAGCATTTGCTCTTCTTTATTTTAATGGATTTGAACCTTGAGGTTGAAAAGTCTAGAGGTGATTACTGGGTACTGCATGTGTTAAAGCAAGGCAACCTGTTGGGGTGCCAGGGGTTACCTGAAATGAAAGGGGAGCTGCACGATTATTCCTTGTGTCCGGAGCCTACTTGATTGCTTTGGCCACTTTTGAACATTTAACGGGGCCTGCTGCGAGCAGTGCCTTTCAAGATTCTTCAAAGCAATCACGCTGTCATAAAAAATGCAAAAAAGAAAGGAAGCTGTCCTAATGAATTGGGCCGGCACAATCAGGCAAAGATTGAGTTTTAAGATCAGGGCGACAACACCTGGGCCACAGCCGGTCGATCCCACCTTCAAAGTCTCCAGCAAGGCCATAAAGGTGGATGGTGTGAGGAGGACATCTGCACAGCCAGAACCATATACAACTGCAGGCAGTCAGGCAGGGGCTGGGCAGGGATGACCCCTGACCCGGAGGAGATAGAGGAAACAGAGGAGTCTGCGGAATGAGCTTGTGTGCTATACAGAGGCCCAGCTGTGCGGAGGGGGTGTAGAGTGGGTGGGATCTAGTAGGACGTGCTGAGTAATTGATGCCTTTACCGCCCCTTGCAGGTGCGGGCTCTGCAGGCCGAGCTGGAGAAGGAACGGGCCGAGGCCAGGAGGAAGGCCCACAAATTAGAGGATGCACTCAGGTGAGCAGACACATGCTCAACATGCACAACAAATAAAAATCATGCAAATGAGAATATCTTAACAATGAATAAAAGCTAGCAGGGGGAAGTTACATGTGCAAATGAGAACATGCTAACAATTGAAGTAAATTAGCAGGGAGTAGTTTACAATGTGCAAACGAGAACATGTTAACAATGAATGAAAGCTAGCCAAAGAACAGTTAGCACTGTGCAGATGAAAGCATGCTAACAGTTAACAAACAGTAGCTGACAAACATTTGGTATTGTGCAAATGAGAGCATGCTAACAGTGAATAAAAGCTAGCTGGGGGACAGTTAGCATTGTGCAAATGAGAATGTTAGTAATTAATAAAAGTCCTATTAGCATCATGCACATGAAAAAAATGTTAACAGTGAATAAAAGCTGGAAGGGGTCAGTTGGGCAAAGGAGAACATGTTAACAATGAATAAAAGCTAGTTAGCATTGTACAAACGTCCCAGTTAGCTCTTCTACATTATTAGCCACATTGTTAGGTCCATTTAATTTTTACCGGGAAGTCCACACTGCAGTATCATATGGCATCTTAATCCATGTATATCCCTTGTAGTATCCACCAGAACCCGCTGACCATAATGTTCAGTACCGTTTCTAACTGCTGAAGTTGCATTGTTCTTTACTAACCCAGCTGAGCTAGAATGCAAACAATGCTGTGGTCTGGACTGTGATTCGTGGTTGCAGTCTGTGGAAGTGGCTCAGCTCAACGCCCCGTTATGGGAAAGGCCATCTTTTGGACCTCAGCGTGGCCCTCAGATGTGGCGTTAGCGCGGGGTTACCGCCCGCGCTCTCTGAGCCTACTCCCCGCCACAGGAATGCGGCAGGAGACGTGGTGGTGACCAGGCTTCGTTTGAAGGCGCGTACCATGTTATTTTGCTAGACTGATGTCGAGCTCTCCCGCTGTCAGCCTGGCCCTTGGCATACCTGTCCATTCTCTTAGCTGTTAGCAAGGAGGAGAGAAGAGCCCCCATCCCAGCTTCCAATCCAAATTGACGAGCTCACAACACAGTGAATCTGCAGAGCTTTGCCAGTGGTCCAGAATCTCGCATGCTGGCTGAAAGAATGATGTAAGCCTGGCTTTGTTTGCACGTATGACTTCACTGTTTACTGTTTGTGTATTTGTTTGGCCCCTGGCTGTGGTATATCACACTTCACTGGCAGTAACTTAATTAGGCTGCCATCATTAACGTCTGCTACATATTCTGTGTCTTGCCAATGGACAGATCATCCTGTACTGCCCTGTATTTTAGAGTTGAAGTTAGCTGTTTCCCATGGACTTTTAATGTCTTCCTGTAAATATGACAAGGTTTTGTTTTCTTACTATTGAGATTTTTTTCTGTTTGGTCTGAACAGACATATATCATACACTCCAAAGGTTTGGAAGCAAGACCACCTTTGTACAAATAAACATTTTTACTATTTCAAGAGATAATGAACCACATCAGTGTAAAACTAACTGATTTGTTATTTTGTTTCACTGCTGTGAAGATCATCTTCTAACTACCTGATACACATATTTAGATACTTCTGAAGATTTCATGAACTGAAAATGATTAGGAGTTTATAAATAAAAAAAAGTGGTCATGTAAAAGGCTTTTATCAACAAAGAGAGGAATACTTTTACATTAGAGTAAGAGAACCTCACTGTAGCCAGTGGAATATTTTGGAAAAGCTCCTTTGGTCATACTAGTATCAGTAAACTTCTTGTAATATGTTGGCTCTTGGCAAACTAAGTGGCTGTCGACTTCTTTTGTTAATCGGTTTATTCTTTTAGCTATTCTAGCATTGCACATGATGTCACAGTGTATAGTCATTGCCATTTTGAGGACCGAATCAGGGAGTAGCTACGCTTTATAAAAGATTCACCTGCAAGACGCGACAAAAGCAGAGAATGACAAGAGATTACACAGACCTTTAATTCAGTGTTTTCAAACTCCAGGCTTGGAGCCCCTGCACTGTATAGTTTAGTGTTTTTCTCTGCTGTACACATCTCCTTCAGCTGAAGAAGGGATTAATTAGCTAATAATATGAGGTATTTTAACCAGGAAAACCACAATCATGCAGTGCAGGGGTTTCAGGAATGGAGCTGGGGAACTCTGAACTAACTGCACTAGCAAACTTATTAAATCATGTCTGTCGAAACACAACTTAGTTTTCCGACCCAAACAACATTCCGTCTTACATGTTTCTCCATTCAAATGTCATTTAGATCTTCAGAAACCAAGAAGTAAAGTTTTACCGGACTGTTTGCATCTCCGTTAGGGGGACAACTGTTTATCTCTTGGCTGTTAACATTAACAAAAGTTACCTAGAGGCTAGCATCGTTCACATCTGTGTTAATTAGCTGATGTCACCTTACCCTCCTATGATAACAAAGATTTTTTTTCTCCTCTTTATGCAACACCATGGGATCCTTTACCCACCCTGGCATGAAAAGCTGTTAGGCTTCTGAGCTTTTAAATGCTTTGAGAGACCAGAATAGGGAGCTGTGTATGAGATAAATATAAATGTCAGGAAAACACAAATTTGATGCCTTCCGCCAGTTTAAGTGGAACCAGGAGTTCGTGGGAAAATGATTGCAGCCTATTTTTGTCTATCAACTTTGTCGACGTAACGTTTTTTATTTTATATATATAATTTAGTAATTTTAGCCATCTTTCACTTCTAGTTATGTTCGTGCACAGCAGTGAAGCCAGAAATTTGGTCCCAAATATGACAGTCACAACAGAAAAATAACAAGACTGAAACCCTAGGATAGGGTCCTGCATGAATGTACTTTTAACTGTCAAATAAAGAATAATGCTGTAATGTAGTTAATTGAAAGGTTTTTGCACTTCTATGTTTTATTAATTAGAGGTTTGCTGTCAGTGTACTAGTAAATTTGTTGGCCAATGCTCACATTGCTTCACTTAGCCTTTGTCACCTATCATAGCCACCTAGTAACAATACTGTCTGATAATGATGTTTGGATGCTTCTATTTACTTTAGTCTCTGGTGCTCATCACCACTGTTGGTGTAGTCATTCCTGGTTAAACGTAATTTTACCTGCGTGATCCAGAATTGCAAGACTTAAAATGTGACTTCTGCCGGAAAATAAAAGCTTAAAAACCAGTACAAAGCCCCCAGCCCTGGGTGCCGTGGCTATACTACAGTCAGTCATCATGCAGTCGGAAATGCCCACTCAGTCCTGGTCAGGCAGAGATTTTTTA